AGTATGGCCAGGAGCCCCTAGGCGCGTCCTTGCTCCTAGTAGTAAGGCGAGGAGCTACGTTCGTAGCGTCCTTGCTCCGTTCGTAGCGATGCCCTTGGCGGGTTGTGTTGCTTTGTGTTGCTCTTCTGTTTGTGACGATCTCTGGCACGGACGGCTCGGACGGCTTGGCCAGAGTTGTGCCAGAAACCTGCATGAGACTGGGTGCAACGGCAATTCCCGTGTTCCCAACAATAGAAGGTTCCCAATGGATGTTCCTTTGCATCGGGAAGAGCTGAAGAAGATGGGGGGGATGAAGATGCCACTCTCCAACGAGAAAGATATATGAAAAAACAAACAAATCAGCAGAAATCAAGCCATCAGATGTAGAATTGCCACGCCGTGGCACAAGCCTTTTTTTCGTGGAACATATCCTGATGAGATCAACTGGCTGTGAAAAGGAAAGGGAATAACAGATGAAAATCCATTCAACGTCCCTACCTTGCAGCACACGAAAACCTGCTTTACAAACAAACGATTTCTGGTGAGAACAGCCAGTGTGACGAAAACGAAACTGATCGGAAGACTCAGACGCTGCCCATCATGTTCTGTCCGTTTCGCAACGTCAGTTCACCGAAGAATGGGCAAAAGCACCAGTGTTTTGGAAAGAAATATATAGATGCCCAAATGCATCTAGTAGTCTCATAGCCCCTAGTAGTTTCTTGTTCCTAGTAGTAAGGCCAAGAGCCCCTAGTAGCGTCCTTGCTCCTAGTAGCGATGTCAGGAGCCAAATGCATGTTTCCTCATCAATGATCTCAATCGCCTCTATATAAAAGGTGATAAAGGTCGTACAGACCATGAATCAGCCCTCACCACTGATGGTCAATCAGCCCTTTTCTTTGAAATAGGTACATTTGCTTTGAGCTTCACATCGGTCATACACAAATACAAATGCACAGACAGTAGTATAGTAGTAAGTGGTAACTTCAGTAGTACTTAGTTCTGGACTTGGATTTTGTTTGGTTCCTGAAGACACGTTTTCTTTCTTTCTTTGTCTTTCTGATCGGCAGGCGCCAGAGAACGCGATCCCTGTGGGCATCGTGGCTGCGCAGTTTGCCTCCTGGGTCGGGCGCCGAGATGTTCACACCGACAGTCACCCCAAACGGGCGCTGGGTGCTTTTGGATAGGCTTTTCAACCTGAAAATTTGGAATATATGGAACCCAATGACGATTCTGGTTCAAGTGAGTTGCTGGGGACAACCAGTTGACCCAGCAGTTGACCCCGAGATCACCCCACGAGGAGGAGGAAGACCTCTTAGCCTCGGTTTCTTGGTCCCACGACGCCGTTCGAGCTCCACTCCGGGTCAACACCATGGTTCGGCCGCCGGAGCCGCCCCGCCATGACTGCCATCATCCGGCTGGGTTCTTGGGCGAAGATCTCGGTCCGAAACAATCCGGGAAAAGGAGAGAACAGCGAACGTGTGCTGACGTCGCGTGATCTCGAACATCTTCCCATTGAAGCAAGGAATGACCCACTGGCAAGTTTGCAGTGCCAGGTCTGGGGTGAGGATAACTTTAAGAGTGGCAGTGAAAAAAGGTGACTGGCTGACCTTCCTTGAAAACGAGACATCGAGCCATCAGTACGGGTCAGTACGGGTCACTGGTCACTGGTCTCCGACGGTGAGGTGTCAAGCCTCGATGGGCACGTCCACCATGGCCACATCACCCATCCATCTATTGGTTGATCCACAAGTCGCCCTTCGGTGGTGTTCTTCCCACAAAAGAGGTGTGCCGAAGTTTCCCGGTGCAAAGAAACAAGCTTTCAACCTGACCCCCGATCCTCGCAGCATTTGGGCACCTCATCTGGTAACTCGAGGGGGAATGAAGCGTTCGCTCCTTTCTCCCCATTCGGAGCGTTCTCGGCGGGCTTCGGTGGAGTTGCCGTTGTCCTCCGGTCCCAAACACTTGGGGACCGCGATCGCGCCGGGGAATTCGTGGTTGGGTGGTTGGCTCCGAAAAGCCCGCCAACTTCCGGTGTGAAACTGCCTCTTTCTCCGTTTCCACTGCCTGTTTTCCTTGGGGCTGGTCCACCCCCTGGTACCCCACATTGATCACCCCTGTCTGTTCGATCACCTTCATCGCCTTGAAGCAGCGAACGTGATTGACCTTGACTAACCACGCCCAGGTGCAGCAGAGCAGCTCAGAGACCGTGCAGAGCATCCCGCTGACCAGCTGTAAAGGTGCAATTCATGGTTTTCAAGCCATCCCGAATGAACCCCTGGATGGCTTTTGCTGTAGTTTGTCCCACTTCCTTGAAGCAACACCTGCTTTTGCATGCGCAAGCTGAAGGAGAGGGAAGGAGCTGTGCGACGCTTCACGGGTTTCTGTAAGCCTAGTCGCATGTTCTGTGTTTGTGTGTGTGTGTGCGTAATGGTTGCGAAGGTTTGGGTCGCCTGTTCATAGGTCGTTTTGAGGATGAGAAAGCTTTTTGTAGTGCTCATCAAAATGGAGCAGAGTGCTCCCACGCGACAGGTGCTTCGACCTGGAAGCAATTCTTCACCACTCCAGGTAGTCTGGGGCCGATTTTGGCCGGGAGGCCTGACGAGCTCCTGCGAGGCTGGTGTCGGTGTGTCTGGGCTCCAGTAGCTTCTTGTTCCTAGTAATAATGGCAGGAGCTACAGCCGTAGCGATGCCCTTTGTTCCTAGTAGTAAGGCCAGGAGCCCCTAGTCCGCGTCCTTGTTCCTAGTAGCGAAGCTTCTTGTTCCTAGTAGCTTCTGGAGGATGCTTTGGATGTTTTGGGGATGAAATTTGGGAAAGCTTTCCCATCTTCTCCCTGCTTGGCCATGGTTGTCGCCACGGCAGTGGCACAAGTTGAACAAGCCCCCATTGCTCTACCCAAAACGACATAGTAGCAACCCTCACATTGGCTTGGAAGTTTTGGACATCCATGATGAGCCCAAACAAGAAACCATTCCATTCCATTCCATTCCATCTACCTCCACAAAGTTTCAAGGATCTGTTCATCTCTTGGATGTGAGGCGGGTCTATGATGGTCTATTTCAATCACCCCGAATGCACTGATGACTCGGATGACTCGCGGAGCTATTTTCCTTGTAAAGAAAACGGGTCTGCGGTCACATGGGCATATGTGCCTTCATGCGTTCGTCAATCTCCATGTTCAAACCAAACTTGAGTGCAAATGAAAGGAACTCCCTTTTGCAATCCCCCTTTGGGCTTCTTTCAGCCCAGACACAAGAACGGCTCAAAAGCTCAAGACCAAGAAAGGAACTCTCTTCTTCAAAGGAGAAGCAGCACATCCAAAGGAAAGGCATCACAAGAAAAAAACACCAATTTCAAAAACATTGCCGCCGGTGGGCTGACATTCTACAAGCAAACTGAAATTCTACCCATCACTTCGGGTTCTTTTCTGCAAGAAAAGGCATGCAGCACACTTCGGCTTCTGGAGCCATGCTATGGGGATTCGTAATCTTTCCGTGCTTGGCGAGAGTCCAGACTTCGTGGCATGCTATGGGGAAACCGATCTCGGCTAGTGAAGGTGTCCGGTTTCTTTCCATGTGATTTTGGTCGCCCAAGTCGCCGAAACCAGGTGGCGATGATGCTTTGGGCTGTGGGGTGCTTTCTGTGCGCCAAGCCGTCGAGTAGCGTCGAAATCAATCCGGAAGTGGTCCCAAGCCCTTTTGCCGCTCGTTGGGTGTTTTGGTGTTTTGATGCTCGGTGCTTGTGGTCACGCTAGCGTGTCCTAGCAGGTCACCGCGTGTCCTCGGATCGCGGCACCGGTTTGGGATCCGCGTGGTATGCCCAGCGCCAGGTATGCGGTCTATGCCACACCTCAGATCCCCATGGTGGCACCAGAGATCTTCTACCAGCAGGCACCGGGGTGTTCGTTGTTTTCATGCGATGGGTTGGTTGGACCAAAAGCTATGAATCTACAGTCCTACATGTGGCCGAAAGGGGTATCAAAGGGCTTGAACCGCGCAAAGCACCGCGCAGGTTCAGGAGCAGATCGAGAACATCCCAGTGCCGAAAGATAGCCCACATTATTCGCACTATAGGCGCAAGGGAGAGCGCAAGTTTTGTGTTCATGAAGCGGCTGAAAGGGAAGCGGCTGGTGAATGGCATCTCCCAACTCAACCGGTGAAGCCATGCAGATGGCCTTAAAAAAAGACAACGGAAAAAAAACAACAAATGATCTCTTTTTGGTCTCCAAAGAAACAGGAGAACATGTTGAACACGTCCCAAGAAGTGGAACTTCGTATTGGGCATAGCACATCCTGCGACTCTGTCTCTACAAGGATGGTCATCGCTCGAAGAATTGCACGTTGGTCCTTTAGACTCGCGTTCTCATGACAACTCTGCTGGCAGCGCTGCTGGATGTGATGGCGCTCACCGATCTGCACGGTCAGGCGGTACTATCTCGAGCAGTACAGGGAGCACCTGGCACAGTACAGGGAGCACGAAGAGGCCTTCAGGCTCAACAAAGGCGCCTGGCGTACGATGCGCCGCACACACGTTCGACGCATGTTCGACCTGCTGGGCAAACCGACGGTGCCGTTGCACTTGGTGATGGAGTCTTAAAAAATATCTTCACGCTGAAACAAACGTGGGAGTTGAAGACACCATAAAAATCCATCAATGCAATATAGAAATAGAATAATCCTCCAAACCGCCATTTGGATTGCAAAGCCAAACGGGCCATGAAGGAGGTCGGTCATGGCTGCAAGTCGTCCTCCGTGTCGTCCTCGGCATCAACGCCTGTGATCCGTTCGACTCCTGGAAGTAGATGAGAATAAGGGCGAAAGAGGGATCGGGTCGCAGGAAGGAACCAATGAAAAGGAACATGCCGCATAGGGAACTCTTAGGGTCAAGAGCTTCATATTGGCTTCGGTCTTTCGGCTTTTCAGCCGCTGAGAAGGGTCATGGTGGCGGACCAGGTGTGCTCGTCGGCCGTCGCATCTCGTCAGGACCCAGGGTCCATTGGGGCGCCCTTCTACAGGTTCGTTGGACGGGCGCGGACGGGACGCGTGCGGTGTGTTTTGGACGCGGAGACGGGACGGGCGTCTCTTGGGACGGGCTTCTCTTTGCGTGGTTGGACGGTCTCGTTATGTTTTTCCGCTTCGTTATGGTGGCGCAGCGAAGGGCGGATCTGTAACTTTTGGGACTTGGAAGGTGAGACGAGATGTGCAAAAGACAAAAGGCAAACATAGACCAGAAAAGTGGAAAAAATATAGGCTTGTTTCCATCGCTACTAGGACCTAGGAGCAAGGACACTACTAGTAGCTCCTGGCCTTACTACTAGTTTCTTGTGTGACGTTTTTTCAGGGCTTGGGCATTGGTACCTGGATCTTCGTGGCGGTGTTGGCCTTCTGCGAGTACAGGCGCAGCTGCCTCGCCGGCCGGTGGCTGCGGGACCAACCAGGGACGGAACTTGCTTTTATCCGTCGCGATGTCAAACAGAGAAGGAACAGTCGTGCGTCAAAGAGGCTCCAACCAGTTCTGGAAGCCGAAGACGGTGGACGACCAGGGACGACCAGGGACCAGGTCAGTCCTGTTTTCAGCACATGCGACGGTCGTGTGCTCGGGGAGACGCTTGCGCGGAGGGAATCAAGTTGAATCCCTTTCACGTTCAATCGAAGCGCGGTGCACAGCGCATCCAAGCGCAGCGCCTAGGCTAGAACTTCAAGTTGAATCACTGAAAAATAGTTATTGTTTCTACAGTGGTTTCAGAGTAGATGGCACAATCACCAAGAGGTGGTTAAAATGGACCCCCATCTAAAAGACATGTAGGGGGTTGTGCCATCTACTCTGAAACCACTGCAATAGCTTCTTGTTACTAGTAGTACGGCCAGGAGCCCCTAGTAGCGTTCTTGCTCCTAGTAGCGAGGCCAGGAGCCCCTAGTAGCAAGGAAACAAAATGCGCCAAAGACCCCCAGTTGTGTGGAGCTTCCTGCACCGATCCGGCGTTTGTTCATGACGAAGCCAAGCGAGCAGGGAGAAGCAGACCTGAACCCAGCACCACCCCGTCCTGTAGTGGCCATGAAGGATCCCTCAGGATAGAGGTTGTTTTTGAGGTCTCTTTTTACATACCCACCTTGGGACATATGTGCAAATCCCACCCGAATTCGAAACAGCTTTGGCCACGGCGTGCCACATCGTTCGCATTCGCCACAGCACCGTCGGGTTCATGTCGTCACCGCACCATCATTTCGACAGATACACCACGGTCACGGTGTCGATGGAGATGGTCGAGGCGTGGCGGGGCGGGCGGGCTGTGGCGGCGCGGCTGGATGGCCGTCGTGGCGCTCGGTGAAAGCGAGCGAACGTCGTGCGCTCACGTCGGACCAGAGGCCTTACGTTCAAATGAAAGCCCAAAAACTCAGAGGGCCTTCGTTCGCCGTTTGGGCCTCCAACCTACCTGAGCCTTCGGACCGTGCTTGACTCGGACCATTCGGCTCGGGCCGACCCGGAAAGCGGTCCCCAGGAGCGATGGGCTGCGTGGCGACAGAGGTGCTGTTACGGAATTCTTCAAAAGGGAAGGAGAAGGGAATTCCAAACAGGGAGGTATTTTGTGGAAGTGGTTGTGTTTGTGGAGTGTGTTGAAAGAGTTGGAATTTGGAATTCGGTGTTTTTGGAGTGACCTCAAAAGATTCACCAGGAGTCCGAGCAACGCCGTGTGAGATGAACCATTTGACTGTTCCCTCCAAACTTGAGAGTGGCTGCAACTCCTCGTAGGACCTCGTGTGTATGTCACCCAGACACTTGATGTACGGGCATGGTTGATTGAAAAGGGGGTACATGTACCCTAGCCTTCACCATGAAAAGGAAGTTTGACCCGGTGTCCCAAAATCCTTCGTCCAAAACTTGCGAAACTAGTAGCGATGCCATTTGTGACTAGTAGTAGTCAAAACCATGGCGAAAGCCTGGACATCAGCGGGTTTATCGACACGTCCTTCATGTCGGGCACGAGCTTCGTCGGACACGAGCTCCGTCGGACAGCTCGACCATCCTGTGGGCTCCAAGAAGGGGTCACTCGACATGCGCTCCTCTCGTCTTTCGAAAGCCTAAACTGGGCAGAGCCAGGTGGAAAGATGAAGCAGGCAGGGTCTCCCCTGTTGACCTCATAGCGATCTCACAGTCAAGCGGTGAGTGAACAGTCAAGCTTTGTCCTCGCCAATCTGTTTCTCCCTTTTTCGGTCGAATGACCTAAACGAATGCCCGGCTTGTTGCGACCGCTTCACTTCCTTCGGTGCGAGCACCGAGGCCGCGGGAAGAAGAAGCCTCAAAGGAGGGGCGGTGCTTTCGTCGCACAAGCGGGACGCATCGATCGTCGCACCACCGCGGCTCGTGGCCTCTGACCAAGCGTGCGTGCGTGGGTTCCACAGCGAAGGTGGAATCACACCCAGCTTCGTGAAATATGGGAAGTCAGAAGTGTTGAGAGGTTCTTCGATATAGGACAGATCTTAAGGATTTAGCTCTGCTCAGTTCCCCTCCAACTCCAATCTCTACTCATTTTGGCTGCAGGCTACGGCGCCTACAGTCTGGGCCTCTCTTTTTTGAAAGGAAAAAGACTCCAAAAAATTTGACTCTGCTTCGTTTCCGTTTGGCGTTTTTATGGATCTTTGCTTCGTTGGTGTAGACGTTGCTCCCCCGAAATCATCGGACCCCCTGGTGGGTTCTCCAACGCCTCGCGTCGCTTCACGGGCGCCTCCAGCAAACAGCAAAGCAAACGATATGAATTAGACCTTAGACCTCGATGTGTCGCAAGCTTTGCGAATTGTTCAGAGCAGACGAAGAGGAAGACCTTTCTTCCTTTTCTTTGTAGCGTTGGTCTCCGAAGGAGGAAGGAGAAGGAGCTGAAGGAGGACGGAGACCGAGAGCTTGGCTCGCTCGCGTGGTCACGTCCGGACGCGGGTCACGTCGTGGTTCAGGTCGAGGACTGGACCGAAGCCAGGAACAATGTTCGCTGCTAGGAACAAGTGCATCGCTACTAGTAGCAAGTGCCTTACTAGTAGTAACAAGAAGCTAGTAGAAACAAGCTGGCTTCAAGTTCAGTTCAAGCTTTTGGGCCAATCCAAAATGGCGAGAAATGGTGGTGGAAACGAACCCATGGGTTTGGTGGGTTTCATGGGCTCACCCCGAGCGCCTGAGCCCTCGTGCGAACGTCACATGGATCACACGGTCACATTGGGATCGAAGCGAACAGGACCACAGCACCAGCGATGGCCTCCAACCTACTAGTGACTAGTGATGGCTTCCAACCTGTAAACCTTCCTCATTTGCCATTTGCACTTGTTACTACTAGCTTCTTGTTACTACTAGTAAGGCACCTGTT